ACTTAAGACCCCCAGGCATCCCCAAGTCAGTTGCTGCTGAAACTGATCAGAGGCTGATTCCAGGAAGCCCGGGGCAGAGCAATTCTGCCTCGGGCTTCCTGTAGTCAGCCACTGGTCAGTTTCAGCAGCCGCTGAATCTGGACGCCAGTTCCGACTTACATACAGATTCAACTTGAGAACAAACCTACAGTCCCTATCTTGTACGTAACCTGGGGACTGCCTGTGTATGCTACTGAGAGCTTACTGAACAGACTGTGTTGGTAGTTTTCATTGGTAAGTTGGTGTCTCGTCATAGTTCTCCTTTCTTTATCTTCAGGTTTAATTTCCATTATGTTGTCCGTGTGTATTCCCTTGAAAAGCATATAAATATTCATGCAGCCATGTTCTGTGCCAGCTAATCCTTCTGTATATTTTTTGATAAGTTCATTTCTTTAGCATACTCAGGCCAATTACTCCCAAGACATCTACTGATCTAGAGTCTCTGGCAGTAGAATTTCTTAATAAGATGCAATTGGAGGACCTATCAGTTACATCAGTGCAGGTGTCACTGTGTGTCTGATTTTACTAGCAGAATCTCTTATTACTGGCTTTGAGATACAAAAAATAAAGAACTCTGCTTGATTTTCATTCTCTTTGCTGAGTTTGAAGTACATGTTTTTAGTTTTCATGTGAAGTATTTTAAGATTTCTTGCTCTTAAGTCATTGAGAGGTTAGTATGGAATATCACAATGCTTGTTTGTCACACTTAAAACAAAAACTTCAATTGTATAAGCTTTTGTGACAACTTTATGACTTGAGCGTCTGCATTAACATAAGGTTCTTACATAGTAAAGGTCTAAACAAGTCGTTAGACAGTAGGCATGGAGACACTTCCATTGCAACTGAAGGTTTAAGTTATAGTATATCTGATGCACTATACAGGCAATACGAGCGTAGGTCTGCAATCCATGAACTCTGAAAAATGTTCCTGGCTCTACCTCTGATTTGCCATACCCTTCTACTTCATCTTTCTTTGCTCTAGTTTCCCCTGTTTTACAGATGAGGATGATCTTCCATTTAATAATTTGCTAAAGTAGGTAAATTGATACAAGTCTGTTTGAACAATTTATTCTAAAACTAGCGGTAAGATGCAACCATTTCAGTGTGTCTGACTGATACAGTTTAAACGGAATTTGACCTAAGAAGTGCAAAGAACAATATTGTTTTCTAAGCTTGGAATATTTTTATAAATAGGATATTGACTGGGTACAGACAGAGAAACATGTATTTGAACAGGCTTCAAATCATCCTTTCCTTGTTGGACTACACTCTTGCTTCCAGACAGAAAGCAGGTAAAGGTCAAAAACTAATAGAACAGATGTGTCTTTTTGTGACACTTTTCTTGACATTTTTTTGTATCGGTAAAAATCCCAAAGGGCTATCCAAATATTTAATGCAGAATAATTTAAAAAACTGTGAAACTATAAACGTCTATGGTGATTTGTAAACAAAAGGATTCTGAGAAGAAGGGAATTTGAAGGAATTGTGCTTGGTGAAGAAGTAAACTGTCCTAAGCATAGGAGATAGTGTGATAGAAGCGCAGTGTGGGAGAAAAGAAGTAGAAAAATAGAGAATGAAGGATTGAGAAGATGTAGGGCCTTGTATTGAGAGGGGTCCTGAAATATGAAGACATGAACATAAGATGTTGGAATGAACATAATCCATATCATGGAAGAAGAGTCCTTGCTAGACCCCGTCAGTTGTACTGTTCAGAAGTTATCAAGCTCCACAAACTTTAGAGGGTAAAAAAGATCAAATTGGAAGTTGAAACAGTCTCTTTTTGCATAACATACATTTGTCTGTTTCAGATTATTTTTTGTCATAGAATACGTAAATGGAGGAGATTTAATGTTTCATATGCAGCGACAGAGGAAACTACCAGAGGAGCATGCCAGGTATGTTTTATTTGAGAGAATATTTTTCATGCAAATTCTGAGTTTCTGACATGATGCAGCAATTCAGAGTTTATGCTAATGGTGGGCTTCCATCTTTTGTATCGCCCCTCCCCCGATGTTAATAAGTTGAGACACACATTTGTGTTTAAAAGTTCTTCTTTTTCCATGAGATGAAGTTCCTATAATGCAGTTATTTCATTTTAGTGCTGCAAGGTACAGATACCATTTTTTAAAATTATCTTCTCCATCCCCAAAAAATTAGATTTTCATCTCTAGACTAATCATACCTATTTTTAACCTTTCCTCTTGCATCAGATTTTTCTAAATCTTATCTGTTTTTTTGCTCTGGCCTGGGTGCTCTCTCCAATTTATTCCCATCACTAATAGAGTGTGATGCTCAGAATTGGACACAGTAGGGCATGTGAGACCACATCAGTTCGAAGTAGAGTAGGACAGTTAGTTTGTATTTTAACCCCTGAATATTAGCCTTTTTTGCAATTCTGTCACATTGTTGATTCTCATTCGGTCTCAGATCCTTTTCATAATACTATCAGCTATGGGAAGCGACTGTCTAGGAAGGAGCATGGTGGAAAGAGATCTAGGGGTCATAGTGGACCACAAGTTGAATATGAGTCAACAGTGTGATGCTGTTGCAAAAAAAGCAAATATGATTCTAGGTTGTATCAACAGGTGTGTTGTAAGCAAAACTCGTGAAGTCATTCTGCCGCTCTACTCTGCACTAGTTAGGCCTCAGCTGGAGTACTGTGTCCAGTTCTGGGCGCCACATTTCAAGAAAGATGTGGAGAAATTGGAAAGGGTACAGAGAAGAGCGACAAGAATGATTAAAGGTTTAGAGAACATGACCTATGAAGCCAGGCTTCATGAACTGGGCTTGTTTAGTTTTGAAAAAAGAAGATTAAGGGGGGACATGATAGCGGTTTTCAAATATCTAAAAGGGTGTCACAAGGAGGAAGGAGAAAATTTGTTCCTCTTGGTTTCTGAGGACAGGACAAGGAGTAATGGGCTTAAAGTGCAGCAGGGGAGGTTTAGAATGGACATTAGGAAAAAATTCCTAACTATCAGGGTGGTCAAATATTGGAATAAATTGCCAAGGGAGGTGGTGGAATCTCCCTCTCTGGAGATATTTAAGAACAGGTTGGATAGACATCTGTCAGGGATGGTGTAGACGGAGCTTGGTCCTGCCTTGAGGGCGGGGGGCTGGACTCGATGACCTCTTGAGGTCCCTTCCAGTCCTATTATTCTATGATTCTATGATTCTATCCAGTTATTCCCCATTATGTAGCTGTGCATTTGATTTTTTTTCCTTCCTATGTGACAAACATATATTGCACTTGTCTTTATTGAATTTCATTTTATTGATATTCAGATTAAATCTCTAATATGTGACGGTCACTTGGATTTCTCATCCTCTCCTCCAAATTGCTAGCAACTGCTCCCAGCTTCATGTCATCAGCAAATTTTGTGTGTTTACTCTCCACCCTGTTATCCAAGTCACTAAACAATATATTGAATAGTACAAGACCCAGAACTGACCCCAGTGGGATCCTAAAAGAGACATCCTCACAGTTTAACATTGTACCCTGTAGATTGTATATTGATAACAGATACATTTGTTCCCTTTACAATTAAAGAAGTATGTGTATAAATCTACCTAACTTTCATCTTTGCAAACTACTGGGATATAAGGGTTCAGCTGAGTTCTTCCTACTGATGTCATCACTACAAATAAAATTCTTTAGTCCCAGTTTATATCTGTGCAGTTTGTGGGGTCACGGGTGTGATGGCAGTCAGACTTTGTCATTGCAGCATGAACTTCGTCGACAATTCTGATATGCAGTAAGGAATAGAATCCAACTTGCTTTTAGCCCTGCAGAGCCAATACATCTATCAGCAGTAAATGTATTTTTTGTACTTATAAGCAGCTATGACTGAATACAGAATCTTGGTTTTCAGAATAGAATTACATTAAGGACACCTCGTTGTTGCTCTGTTTATTATGCTGTAGCTGTAAATCTAATTTGAAAAACTAAGGGATCTTGTATCATCAATATATCTTACTTTTATTCTAGGTTTTATTCTGCAGAAATCAGTCTAGCATTGAACTATCTTCATGAACGAGGGATAATCTATAGAGATTTGAAACTGGACAATGTATTACTGGATTCTGAGGGGCACATTAAACTCACAGACTATGGCATGTGCAAGGTAAGGGAGAATTATTTCTAAACAGATAACTTATGGTAGCTTAACTAAGTCTGTTAAAAGATATCCAAGTAGGACGTTTCACATTTTATCAACTTGTATACACCTCATGTGGAAACAAAAAGCTTTATTCCATCTGCAACCTAAAGAAGTGCTTAGTTGCTCATGTGTGAACATTCCTGCCTTCTAGTTCTACAACCCACTTGATGTTAGGATCTAAAGCTTATTGCATAATGTAGCAGATAAAATAATATACTGAAAACGGAAAAACATAATACAAGGGTATTACGCCAACCTTCTAGCTGGGAGTGTTTCAGCCTTACGTTACTTTAAACAGATGAATCCTAATACATGGATTCTGTGTAGATACTGATGGCAGTAGCGGCTTCCTGTGTGTCAGAGCCAGGAGATATGTCCACTTCTTAGTCTTCTGAGAATAGGAAGAAAGTCCAGTTCTATAAAGGGCCTTGGCCACCTCTACCATATCTTAGCATGCCCCAGCCCAAAACAGAAGGAATAGCTTTTTTTATATCAGTCTTGGAGGCAGATTAGGAGCAAGACTCTTTCTAAGTTGTCATCACTATGCTGCTGGTCATTGCTTCACCACCACAAAAGAACTGATCTGCATGGATTTTCCTCCCATACTCCAGAGGAGTTAAATATTCAGACCAGACTGAAGAGGATTCCAGGGGGGAAAAATTAAGGCACTATTTAGCAGGCAAAGCAGATAGGTATGCTTGTGCTACAAAATGAGGATAACATTTCTTTTATAGACACTGGTAAAGACAGAGGTCTCCCCCTAAAAATAGCCACGGAAAACAGGTCATGGAGGGAGTAACAGCTTGTTTTTTAAAGATTGCTTTCCTCTCCACTTTCATGCTATGGATGTAACACTGAAACATGAACTTGTCTTTCTCCTGTTGTGCTCTTCTCAATTAAAACTGATTGTTAGGCATTGGAGAAAATAAGTCGTGTAGCAGGTACTTGCCAGGGAAATGCTATCACAACTTTATTGCAAAGTGTGGAATTGAGCTTTCAAAATGGTCTGTTTACTTCAGATTTAAATGGTGTTCTTAGAGCATGCTCAGGATCAAAAGTCCATGTCAGCCTATATGATTTTGCTCAATCAATTAAAATTATATATATTTGTATGTATTTCAGAGAGAATCCCTACAGATCATTGAATTTAGTAAGCTCAAGAGAGTGAAGATCCACTACTTGAGTTTTTGTAAAATTGTAACCTGGTTATTAACGTAAAATAAAAAGAGCAGCTTTTGTTTGGGTTGTGGGCACTCAGGTGAATGTTTTCATTCTTGACTGTGGTAGGGCTCAGAAAGCCTAATGGATTATAATACAGTATTATGTAATGCTTGGGCACCTATGAAGACTATCTTCATTTTCAGCACCTGTAAAAAAGTGAGACAACTCAACACTTTATCTTGTTTACATAGTAAAAGTATAGAGAATTGTCAGCCCGTAAGGGGCACATGGCCCACACAAAGTAAAGAAGATCACTGTGTGTAGCCTATTTAAAATATCACCTATTACTTTAGTAACAATGTTATATATATTTAATACTATTTCATACCATACGTGACTGAGCAGAGGATTATGCTCCAATCTGTTGGATAGAAATCTGGGCATGGCAATCAGGGTTGCTTTCAAAATGCTGAAGAAACACTACTTTTTTCTTTTGTTTTTTCCTCTTTTGGGGTGGGTGGGAAATATTTATGAAGTGAAACACAATACATTACTTAAACCAGCCCTGAGCTGCTTCCTGCACCCTAACCCTGTTCCCAGACCCCTGCCCTGAGCCTGCTCCACCACCCTAGTGCTCTCCTAAACCTCACCCCTCAGTCTGCTCCTACACCATAACTCCCTCCCAGACTTTGAACCTCCACCCCAGCTTCTTGCCCTGAGCCCACTTCCACACTCCAAACCCTGTAGTCCCAGTGTGGAGCTCCCTCCTTCATCCTCAATACCTCAGCTCCATCCCCACCTAGGAGCCCTCATTCCCCCAACCTTGAGCCCCCTCTCACAGTCCAAACCCCTTTGCCCCAGACCCACTACAGATAGTCTGTGCAGAATGGATTTTGTTATGTGCACAGATATGGAGATGATGTGTTGTACATCATCTCCTTATTGGTGTGTGTAACAGTTCATTCCACACATGGACATAAAAAATTAGAGGCAACACAAACTTAATCCCATAAATGTATATATTTCTCAGAGATAAAAAGGTGCACACTTTCTAAAACACAAGATAGTTCCCAATCTATTAACTTATTAGATCTGCCACTTTTTATGTCAACCCTTGGATACTGGTACTTTTCTTCTAACTTGTTCCAGCAGTAGGCTCTTAGTTTCACCCAAATAGATAAAAAGGTGCTAAAAGAACACTCTAATACTCAGGTGGCCGGAGAAGAGCGCAGTAAAAATAGTCAAAATTCTGAATTGAGTGGGGGGGAGGGGTCTGGTCAGGAATGTCACTTCTGCAGTTTCCCAGCATTTTAATAGCATTTCTTTAGACAGAAGTTTGGGATGCAAATCTGTAGTCTGTTTTAAATACTGGCGGGCGGAGAACAAACTCATTACTTTCAATCAGCCATACTTCAACCTGTCTGGGCTTAACCTCTGACCTTCATTGTGGGGCTCAATCACATGACTCATAATAGAAACAGAAGCATCTCTGACTTTTTTTTTTTAAAAAATTTGAGTTTAGTTTTTTGTGTTACATGGAGCCAGAATTCTATTGACAGTGCAGTTTTATGTTGTTTAGGTCTATTTTGTGCCTTGCATGCTGTAGGAAAGTATTGTCATCCATTATACCCTATGCACAGATTTCTGATTAGTAATTAAGATAGTGTTGCTTAAAACATGACTTAATTTTTAATAAATATGTATTTAACATAGTTTCAAGTAATATCTAGTATGTTATAAATGGAATATATAATTTTATTCTTTGACATTTATTAGAAAACAGTAAATGTAGACTGGTGCAACGAAGACAGGTTTTTTTAGCACAGTGTACACTCTTCTTACAGATCTATTTTTATAGAAGAAATGCATGTATTCTGCATACAAAGCAATATATAAAAGTGTAATAACTTATTTTTCTTTAGGTTATTTTACAAAAACATGAAGTAAAGTTGTTTTATAATGTGATAGGAAGTATAAAGAATTTTTAGCTAATGGTGTAAGATTCTTCCCATCTGTGTTTTCCTTTCCTTTCTCAGGAAGGATTAAGGCCTGGAGACACAACCAGCACTTTCTGTGGAACTCCCAACTACATTGCTCCTGAAATTTTGCGAGGAGAGGATTATGGTAATTTGATTTGCTTCAGAGCTATATCATGCATTTCTGTTAACTTCCTTGTAAAATGATTTGTCAGAAAATAAAAATCACCATAATAAATCAGACCCATGATCCAGCTAGTCCAGTATCCTGTCTCTAGCAGTGGTTGGCACTAGATGCTTTGCAGTTAAGGAGCAAGATAACTAATTTTACACAGATGTGGGCTAATCTACCCCTCACCCCCAATAATGGTTTATAATAAGTATTAAACCCTGAAGCATGAGGTTTTATTATTTTCCACAGTTTATTAAGATTAGCTATTATAACTGTGGATTGTTGTCCATATAAATGTCCAGTCAGTCCCTTTTTCAGTCTTACTAACTTCTTGGCTTTAATGATATCCTTTGACAGAATTTCATAGTTCAGTTATGCATTTTGTGCTTTTGGGGGGGATTCAGTGTTGAATTTGCCACCCTTTTATTTCTTAAAATGTTCTCTTCTGTCTCGAGACAAGGAACAGAAACTACATTGTCTATACTATTAATTATGTATTTTAATCATGCCTCATCTTTTTCATCTCCTTTCTAAGGTAAACATTCTCAGTTCTTTTCGGGGTCTGAGATAAATTTGCTTTCCCTCCTATCTCTATTAGTTTAGAACTTGATCATTTACTCCTTTTTTCATATAAACTTAAGGGGTTGCAGATACTATCAAATAAACAGGTTTTAAGCATTTTAAAATCTTTATCCATATAAATATAAGTAAAATAGATCTAATGACACACAATAGCTATTAAAATTCATACATAGTATGTACAAGTTCTGTTGTAGGTGTAACACTTTTTTTCCAGGATTAATTTGGCCTCTTTTATACAAATGCAAAAGGGTATTTTTCTAGTGTCAGATGTGTCTGGAACATTGCCTTACTTTTGTGTGTTTTGCCAGAACATACTAAGGCCTATCACAGGTCCTTTTTTCCAGAGAAGGGAGATGGTTTAGTATTGTCTTTAGAACTAATTAAGTTTGTTTAACTTTGAGTGAAACAAGGCCCTTCTTCTTTTGTGTCAGATTCTACCAAGGACTAAGCAGATCAACTTTATAGCAGTGGTAGCCTTGAGGAGAACCAAGATGCTAGAACAGTTAATTGATCCCTGTCTTCAACAGTGAACAATAGAAATGTGATGTCACCCCCATCAACAGTTTTTATTTATTGCACTGTTTGACACCAATATCTGTGTATCCTTCCACCAAAAAATGTTATGCAGCCCAGACTTGGAACTTATTTCCCCTTAAATACTAAAATTACTATTTAAATTTATTTAAAGTCAAGAACCTACTCTTTGAGGTTCCAGCACCAGCCTTTTAAGTCTTGATGCCTTCTTTCCTTGATACTGCCTTTCATCCTGCACAGTGAACCTGAGGACTTCTGTTGCCTTTGACACCCCTACCTTAAACATACAGTAGTTTGTAGGACCTAACTTAACCATTGCATGCTTTTCTGACTATCAAGATTGTCTGATTGTTCATTTATAAAATATACCTTGTTCTTCATATAATTAGCATTGATGCTTATTTTAATAAGTCCTCCCTGATAAAAATAGTTTGGTTTTGTTTTTGTTTAAATCCTAGGCTTTAGTGTAGACTGGTGGGCATTAGGTGTACTTATGTTTGAAATGATGGCTGGCAGATCCCCATTTGATATTGTTGGAAGCTCTGATAATCCTGACCAGAACACAGAAGATTATCTCTTTCAAGGTGAGTAGTGGTTAGATTTTAATATACAATAGATTTTGCTTATTACAGGCTGAAACTCTCTAAACTGGGACTTTCTGGTCTGGCAACATCCATGGGTCAGCATGGATGTTGCACAACCAAAGAGTCCCAGTGGAGGGCCAGCACCAGGAAGCACTGCGAGGGCAGCAGGCTGCCTGTAGTGAGCCGCCAGCGTGAGGCCTGGAGCCACAGCGGCAAGGTTGACAGCAGTGGGGGTAGCTGGCTGGGAGGTCAGTGTGCTGGGCCAGGATTGGGGGGAGCCAGTGGCAGAGGGGCCAGAAATTACCTCCCCTGGTGCAGCAGAATTCCTCATTTGGGACCAGTCAGGTGTCAAGACAGGGAGGGCCACCCTATAGGAATACTTTGGCTGAGAGCAAAAAATTGTCATTAGCTGGCATTTACCAGTAAACAGAAGTTAGGTTCATGGAGCTGCAGCTGGAATCACTGGAATGTGCCTTTGCTGGCAGTAGCCCTGCAAATCTGTGGGGAATATGGGTGCAACTCAGGTGCCCGGGATTTCCCTAGAGAGGGGAGGCTGTGTCCAGTGCAGTGGGAGTGTTGGGGGGAGGGGCACTCAACTGCACAGTACTTATCTCTACTGCTGTCCTGTTCCTGGCCTCCTCCTCCTCTATCCACAAAATTGGTCTGTTTCTGGCTGGGTGTGCATGTGGATGCGGGCGCGTCTGTCACTTACCTCCTATGCAGTCTCTGGGCACAGGCAGGTTTGCAGGACTGCAGCCAGGAAAGGCAATGGTACATGGCAGCACCAGTTGCTGACAGGTTTTTGGGATTGCAGCCAAGAAAGGCATCTTTCAGGACTTGCGTCTTGGCTGCAGCCCCACAAACCTGCCTGTGGCTATGGCCTTTCTTGGAAAAAAAAAAAAAATTCAATAAGTGGCATGACATTGCCAGTATCCAAATCACATTAACATTAGTTAATGAGATGGGATTGATTCCGGGCAAAATGTTGCTGTTAATAAGTTGTTTATATTAAGTTGTTATTTAGCAGTATCCACTATATTTAGTAATAGATATATAGCTGTGTTAGTCTGGTCTAGCTGAAACAAAAAACAGGACTATGTAGCACTTAAAAGACTAACAAGATGGTTTATTAGGTGATGAGCTTTCATGGGCCAGACTCACTTCCTCAGATCAAATTGTGGAAGAAAATTGGTACAACCATATATACCAAAGGATACAATAAAAAAAATGAACACATATGAAAAGGACAAATCAAATTTCAGAACAGAAGGGAGATGGGGGGAGGGGGGAAGGTAAATGTCTGTGAGCTAATGATATTAGAGGTGATAATTGGGGAAGCTATCTTTGTAATGGGTAAGGTAATTAGCGTCCTTGTTAAGACCTAGGTGTAAAGTGTCAAATTTAAGTATGAATGACAGTTCAGAGGATTCTCTTTCAAGTCTGGTGTTAAAAGATCTTTGAAGCGGTATGCAGGTAATCAGGTCATTGAGACAATGCCCTTTCTGGTTGAAATGGCAAGAAACTTTTTTTTCTTTGTGATCCTGTCTAATATCTGTTTTGTGGGCATTGATTCTTTGGCGAAGTGTCTGAGATGTTTGTCCAATGTATATAGCAGATGGACATTGTCGGCACATGATAGCATAAATTATATTTCTGGATGAGCAGGAATATGTGTTCTTGATCTTATAACTCACTTGGTTAGGTCCAATAATGGTATCAGCAGAGTGAATATGTGGACAAAGCTGGCAATGGGGTTTGTTGCAAGGGAAAGTTCCAGGATTGGTGTTAGTGGGGTATGTCCTATGGTTGTTGGTAAGAATCATCTTGAGGTTAGGTAGCTAAACTCCGAGAGGCTCTGGGAGACAGACCCATAGTCTCCTGTAGACAACCACCTAACCTCCTCTGAACTGTCATTCATGCTTAAATTTGACACTTTAACATCCTTGTTAAGACCTAGGTGTAATTACCTTACCCATTACAAAGATAGCTTCCCCAATTATCTCCTCTAATATCATTAGCTCACAGACATTTATCATTTCCCTTCCCCCCCAATACCTCTTCTGTTGTGAAATTTGATTTGTCCTTTTTATATGTGTTCATTTTTTTGATTATATCCTTTGGTATTTATGGTTGTGCCAATTTTCTTCCACAATTTGATCTGAGGAAGTGAGTCTGCCCCACAAAAGCTCATCACCTAATAAACCATCTTGTTAGTCTTTAAAGTGCTACATAGTCCTGTTTTTTGTTTCACCATATTTAGTGTTTGTAGAGAAGACAAAGAGAAGAAACTTTAGCTATGCAGAGTTCTAATGTCTTAAGTTCTCTATTCTTCTAGTCATTTTGGAAAAACAAATCCGCATTCCACGATCCCTTTCTGTTAAAGCAGCAAGCGTTCTAAAAAGTTTTCTTAACAAGGTAAGAGCTGAAGTCATATATTTGCTTTAAGGTTTTTCAGGAGATCCCATTGTCAATGTGAACTTACAAGGGTATAACTGACATTAAAATTTCCCCTAAGCTGAAGTTCAGCAAACAAGGTCCGAATCTGATAAGGACTATTCTAAAACAAAGGCTTCTTAATAGAGGGAACTAACATTTGTTTGTTTGTTTTTACTTTTTTAACTGTTTTTGAAACCTGAAACTGCAGATATTCAGAACCAACAGGTAAATCACAAAACAAAAGGCCTCCAACTGCATAGAATGGCCATATTAACCAGGCATCAGGGAAACAAATACTTTTACCATAATTTTTGAAACACTATTTCAGAAATTTTGATACTTTATGTTCTTCTAGACTGTAATCATTCGGAGTGATTGGAAGTAGGTGTACTTGTTGTATGTGGAATTCTTTATTGTAACAGAATTGTCAGGATATTTCAGAAGGAACTTCTGAAAGATAATTTTAAAATTATTTAAGAACCTTTTTCTTTGAGTTACTTGCTCATATCTACTTCATGTTAAGTGTGCATGCACTGTGTGCACATCTGCCAGAAAGTGTTTCCCTAGCTGCTACCCATTGGGTTGGCTATGTAGCCTGCTGGAGTGGTGCCAGTACGGCACACTATATATGATTCCAAAAGGCCTATACTCAAATCAGTCATTCACAAAGGGCACGCTATTGCTCGTATAGCCCTTCTTTCCTCAGTAAAAACAGATGACACAGCAGCCAGGGCAACAGCCACGGCAGAATGGTCTCTTGGTTCCTATCAGTTGGTGTAGCCAAAGAACTCCATTCGAAGTAGGGAGACCTTCTGTTTGATAAGCACAAACTTTTTGCAACTAGTACTGATGATGTCCTGCATAGCAGCAAGGACTCCTGCACTATCCTTTGTACACTCAGCATGTATTCCCCTCCATACGGCCGAAGCATGGTACTCCATACCACAAACAGAGACAGCTACTATAACAGCGCTCAACAAAAGCTGAATGACTGCAGTCGTGCTAGACAATGACCCCAGAGGAAGTGCCCACCTCAAGCTCTCTCCAGTTTCCAGGCAGCAAAGCAGCAAATTTGGAGATTTGGTCAAGGGCCTGCCCAACTTCCCAATTCATCCTTTGACAACAAGCCAGTACCATCTCTTTACCAACAGACTTCATCCCTTTTACCTTCAATGGAACGTTATAACATCAGATCAACGGGTCTTAGAAATCATCCCCACAGGATATGTCATCCTCTTCATGTTGCTTCCCCCTATCCACCGCCCTTCACCATCCCTCCTCAAGGACACCTCTCACAAGACTCTTAGAGAAGAAATCATTTGCCTCCTGCTCTTCAGAGTGATAGAGAGGGTCCCACATGCCTTTTGGGGAAGAGGTTTCTATTCCAAGTTTTTTCTAACATAGAAGTGCACAGGGTGTTGAGATCCAATATGGGTCTCCTACAAGCTAAACAAATTCCTGCAGAAGCAACAATTGAAGATGGTACCACTGGCCTCGATTATACTGGCTCTGGACGAAAGGTACTGGTTTGCAGCCCCTGACCTTCAGGACGCATAGTTCCACATGGCCGTACACCCATCACACAGATGATACCTTCAATTTAGTATGGGTGACAACCACTACCTAACCCTAACCCTACCAGTACACAGTCATGCCATTCAGGCTGTCTTACAGCCACAGGGTTGTGTCTCAAGTCCTGGCTGTAGTCACAGCCTATCTCTGACAGCAAGGCATAGTGATCTTTCCATAATTAGATGACTGCCTTATAAAAGGCTGGTCCCAGGCAGCGACTACCAAAATGATCTCCAAAACCAGGTAGATCTTCAACCGTGTGGGCCTCCTAATAAACAAACAGAAGTCAACCATGCAGCCCGCAAACAGCATAGAGTTCATTGGGGCCTGCCTCGATTTGTTGACTGCCAGAGTCTATCTCCCATTTCACCAATTCACAGCCCTGTGTGATCTCGTCAGCATATTGACACAACAGCTACCGCTACAGTACTTACCTGCCTCTGGGTAATGGGCCATATGGCTCCCATTACTTGAGTTGTGCAGTATGCATGCCTCCATTTCAGAGCCCTACAACACTGGCTAGCGTCAGTTTATAAGCCTCTTTGTCATCCCTTGCCCAAACAAGTCAGTCCCCAAGAAGTCTCTCATGGGCTTGTTGGCACACCTGCATCACCACGCAGTCCAGGGCAGGTGGTTGCCACATGAGTCCTCGCTACATATCAACCTCCTTGAGCTCAGGGCTGAAAGGAATGCATGCAACCACTTTCTTACCATCATCAACCATGCAGTTCATGTACTTACCGACAATATGACAACCATGTTTTTTATAAACAGGCAGGGAAGGGCTCGCTCCCCATCTCTCTGTGCCAAGGCAATCCACCTCTGCAACTGGTGCATCTGCCATCCAATCACCCTCAAAGCCTCATACTTACCTGGGGTGAACAACATCCAGGAGAATGCTCTGAGTTACAATTTTATGACCAACCATGAGTGGGAACTACATCCTGCAGTACTCCCCTCCATCTTTCAGCACCAGGGAATCCCAACCATAGACCTTTTTGTAATTCCCAACAGCCACCTCAAAGTGCCTCTGATTCTGTTTAGCTTGATGGGGTAGGGAAATCGCAGGGCGATGCATTCTTCCTCCTCTGGAACGAGCTGCACCATTATGCCTCCCCTCCCATTGCACTCATCCCCAGAATTCTATGCAAGATTCAAATGGACAGAGCTCTAGTCATACTGGACCAAGCCTAGTTCCCATGCCTATACGCGATGTCTGTAGCCATGCCGTATCATCTTCCATCCCATCACCACATCCTATCTTAGACCGGGGGCAAACTGCTTTACCCCCAACCTCACACCCTCCACCAGTTTGTGTGGCTCCTGTCTGGTTCCACAGAGCAGAATCCCTATGCTCAGAATAAGTTAGATCAATCCTTCTACAAAGTAGAAGGCCATCAACTAGGATACCTACCTGCAAAAATTGAAAAGATTCTCTTCCTGGTGTCAGCGGACTCAGACTAACCCTCACAGTGCACCACTCCATCAGATCCTCGATTATCTGTATCCTCATAGGCCACCTGTTTTATCAGTTTCCTCCGTGAAGGTACACCTTGCCGCAATATCTGCTCTTCACAAATGGATAGATGGCTCATCTGTCTTCACACACCCTATAACAAAAATATTTCTGAAGGGCTTCCACAACCTCTACCCTTTGGTTAGGGTGCCGGCACCTACCTGGGATCTGAACTTAGTCTTGAACTGTCTCCAGTGGCCTCCCTTCAAACATTTGTCCACTCCCATTCCTACTAATAAAGGTGCAGGGTGTGGCTTTTTTTTTGGGGGGGGGGGGGGGGGGGTGTTGACAGCTGCCATCTCTGCAAGGAGGGTTAGTGAGATAGGGGCCCACCATATACAATCTTTACCAAGGACAAAATGACTTTAAGATCACATGCAACATTTCTACCCAAACTTAGTATAGTCTTCCATATCAATGAGCCAATAGTACTACCAGCATATTTTTCCTAAACCTCATGCATCCCCCAGGAATGCTGTGCTCCACAACACTCGACATCTGACAAGCTTTGGCCTTTTATATTTGCTAGAACATGATCATTCCGAAAGTCTTCACATCTATTCGTATTCATCACACCACATTCAAAGGGCATACCTATTTCAGTGCAATGTATTTCCAAATGGGTTTCATCCTGCATGCTGTGGTGCCATGCCCTCCATAACAGACCTTTGCCAGTTCCACCAAAGGCATGTTCCATTCTTGCCACTGCAGCTTCCACAGCTTTCCTAAGCAACAAACCCCATAAAGACATTTACCAAGCAACCACCTGGTCTTCAGACCACACCTTCACTAAGCACTGCGCCATAAATGCCACAGCTGGTGGCAGATTCGGCAGTGGCTACTACAGTATTATCCACAGCCGCTAAGCAGTGACTCAGATTCCTACCATCCATGTAAGGTACTGCTTTGAAGCCACCTTATGTGGCGCACACATGGGGACATTACCCGAAAAAGAAAAGGAAAAAGAAAAAGAAAAGGTTACTCTGTGCAGTAACAACTGTTCTTCAAGGTGTGTGTCCCCATGAGTGCTCCATAACCCTCCCTTCTTCCCCTCTACTCGGAGTCTTAGTTATTCAGATGGAGAAAAGGAACTGAGGGGGGGCTGAGCCACGCATGCAAGGCGCCAAACTGAACACAGCACAAGGCCTGCTAAGAACTGCTGAAAAAAGCTCCTCTCCATGGCTCCAGGACGTCCCTACACCTTACGTGGAGCACCCAAGGCAGTGGACACATCTCAAAGAACAGTCGTTACTATACAGAATGAGTAATTTCCTTTTCCACTCCCTTTGTTCCCAAACTTCATCACACTAGACCAAGGTCACCTCCTGCTCCTGGACCTGCGCTCTCTCCATCTTACAACATGGTGATTCCATGGCTAAACCCCATGAAGCAGACTTGCCCTGAGCAGGTCCATCAGGTCCTTTTTGGCTCATGTATCTGGCTAAGTGGAAGTAATTCTCCTGTTAGTGTCTCCAGCATAACTTGGTACTCTTGTTGGCTTCTATCTCAGAAGCTGGAGTATCTGGTATCCCTGAATCACAAGGTCCTTGATACTTTTTCTTTGAAAGTTCACTTGACAGTTATTTCAACTCTCCATACAGGAAAGGCTGGTCAGTCCATTTTTGCAAGCCAGTGGTCAGGCGTTTCCTCAAGGGCATGGATAGGTTCCACCCACCCATCAGGCACCTGATACCTGCTTGGGATCTCAACCTAGTTCTCTTGGAGCTCATGGATCCCCCCTTCGAGCCCTTAGCAATGTGTTCACTACTTTACCTTTAATTGAAAGTGGCTTTCCTAGTTGCCATCACCTCTGCCAAATGGATGTCAGAGCTCCGTGCCCTCACCTCAGAATTCCTGAATGCTGTTTTCCATAAGGAGAAGGTCCAGCTTTTCCCACTCCCTGCTTTCCTTCCAAAAGTGGTCTCTAGTTTCCACACCGCTCAGGATAACTTCTTTCTTGTTTTCTACCCTAAACCTCAGTAGGGTGGGAACAGTCTGCACTCGCTTAATGTCAGGCAGGCTCTCGCATTCTACATGGTTAGGACTAAGCCGTCTTGTAAATTGTTGCAATTGTTCGTGGTGTTACCCCTGGGACCTGGATAACACTCAAATATGGCCTGATAGTGCAACCCCAGTCAAAAGAAAACAGATCCGCCCCCTCCCTCAAGGTCTATCGCCTGTGAATTAGGCCGATAAAGGAAAACAGACTCCAAGTAAAGGTGAAAGCAAAAAGAAACTGTATTAGGGATTTATACAATATTAAGGAGAAAGCAGGGGAAAAATCCAACGCAAACTAATAACCTGCAACAAAATAGTGGAAGTGAACAGTAAAACCATTAATGTCCCAACTGGACTGCATGAAAATAATTGGTAAGTTCTACCCCAAATACAAATGGTTATTTTACTCTTCTGGACTGGAGTGGCTGAGCCAGAGGTGTGTTGCCCAGGACCTGCAACCTTTGGTCTGATTGAGAGTCCTCAGGGAAGAACGCTGGAGAGTCCCTTGCTGGTGGTACAGGAACCCTGAAGAGGATGACTGGCAGATGACACTCGTGTAGATGGAAGACAGTGGATGGGGTGCCTCTTCTATTCCTCTGACTGGCTTGCAGCTGGATCAGATCCCTTGGTGGTCTCAGGAGAGAGAGCTGACAAACTGCACAAACACTGCCACTCAGATGGACAGCACCCTCCATGAGCTGTGTCCGGACTTATAAAACCTTCAGGGCAGGAAACCCCTGAGGTGATTTTTACCATGTGACCTCTCTGTGGGGACCTGTTCTGAGGTAACCAAGAAAAGGCGGGAAATTCCGGTCTGTGCCGGTTCTTGTTTACCACTCTGAAGTGGAGGGCCCCTCCGTGTCCTGGGGTCACCTGGTATACAGACTCCATGTTGTTTTTCCACAAACAGCCTAGAAATACTATTCAGCATTATCAACTAAACATACAAATTTGTGTAATTAACATACATACATAAAGACGGGAAATTCCAGTCTGTGTCGGCTCTTGTTTACCACTCTGAGGTGCAGGTCACCTAGTATTCAGACTCCATGTTGTTTTTCACAAACAGCCTAGAAATATCATTCAATATTATCAACTAAACATACAAATTTGTGTAATTAACATGTATACATAATTGATCACCATCATCAGAAGGTCAGCCTGCAGTGGCAGTGGCAGACAGAATGAAGGGGGCTGCCAGTCTCATTGCAGGGCATCTCATCCTGCATCTGGTGTGCATCTACATATGCTATGACCTCATTTAGATTTCATTTCTGCCTCTCATGGCGCATTCTGCACGCATGCAGGCCTCTTCGGCTGCATTCATGGCTCATGTTGCTCTTCAGGAAATCTGATGTGGTCCTCGGCACATTCCTTTACATCACACTATGCCATCATGCAATAGTCTAGACGTGATGCAGCTTTTGGTGGTGCGGTACTTGTCAGCTACCTGTTGACTCCGGCTTGTGAATCCTCTAACTTGGAATAGATATGAACAAGCACTCAAAGAAAAAATAGCAGTACTCCAGTGGCTCCACAGCCGATGTAATGGTTCAACTATTGTAGCACACACACACACACACACACACAACTAACTTGAAATGGATATGAGCAACATGTCTCGAACAGTTACAATGGTAACATTTTTTTCCTCATTTTAGTTAGTGAGGGCCTTGAATGCAAGTTTCTGGCCTTGACAAACTTCATTTTCAAATGGGAGAACAAAGTGTATCTAATGTCTTTGGTATTTAAAAATAAATGGTTGGAAAATTTGACATGAAAACTGACAGATGCACGAACTTATTAATTTAAATATGCTTTCAATGTGTGCTATTGTGTTGCTTCAGCTGACTGACAACTGACCCACAGATTTGTAAATGACCTAGGCATGTTAGGATTAGTCCTTTTAAATTTGGCACGTTACCAACTCATCTGAGCTATGGATGTATTGCCATATAAAAATGTTTATGGAAACCTATAAGAAAAACATCCCTTGATCCTGACTCCCTAGTTTTTTGGAATCTTTTTGTTTGAGTAAAATGTCAGTGGTATGACACTGGCAGTAGCCATCCTTAACGGTACCCAACTAATCACTACTTGACTGACTTAATGAAGTATTTCTTAGGAGTTGCTATTTTCCTTTGAAGTTCCGTTGTTCATCTTTTTCCTTCCTCCTGTCTTATTACATTATTAGATTTGCTATTGCATGGTTATCCCTGAGCCAAGGAATTCTATAGGAGACTCCCAGTGAAACCAGCATTAGCTTTATCTGTCACCTAGAGCCTTCTAATGGGGTTGCTTAGGATTCAGACATTCCCTACCTGTGAAAATTCCCAAATTAAATGCAGTTGTGATCAGGCCAGTATTAATTCCAAGCATGCAATATATTTTAACGTTTGCCCATTTTAACTAAAATTGCAGGAGAGTGGGGTGGATAGCCAATACATAAGCCTGTAACTGAATTACAGCGTGTATATATATTAAGCAGTTTTTTCTATTTCTAAGGTGAAATAGAAGAGTTTCAGATTTAAATTTGAGAACAGAGCTACTTTGCCTAGGCAGTGCATTAGCCTAATGCACCTTGCAACCCCTTGACATTAGTGTGTATTATGAAATCTACAAACAGTGACTTGTGTGCTTCAAATCACACATTCTCCAAATGATTTTTCACTTGTAAACATTTTTGTTCTTCCATAGGATCCAAAGGAACGTTTAGGCTGCCATCCGCAAACAGGATTTGCAGATATTCAGGGACATCCATTCTTCCGAAATGTTGATTGGGATCTGGTATGTAAACACTGATGGGTTTGTTTCTTCTGCTTTATGCAGTATAACCCTTTTAAACAGGATGCCAAATTTGATAACGTCAGAATTTTTAAACCGTTTTAAACTATACTGTGAAGAGATGTCGATTCTATTAACCCTTTTACACACAGTAACCAAAGAAATTTATTTAATTAATTTTGTTGGGATATTTGTAAGAGATGCAAATATCTCAAAGTTAAGTTATTTTTTTGGAACTCAGTCCCTTTGTAAACATTAATATTATATCTGATAGACAGTTACTCATACTTACTATCATTTATTTCTAGATGGAACAAAAGCAGGTAGTTCCTCCATTTAAACCAAATATATCAGGTGAATTTGGTCTTGATAACTTTGATTCTCAATTCACTAATGAACCTGTGCAGCTCACTCCGGATGACGAGTAAGTACCTCAAACTGAACAAAATGTTTTTAAAGTATAAAGATGCAAGGTCAGTTTGTTTGATTGGCATCATAGAAGATGTACCTACAGGAATTTTATAGCACTCTGTTGCTGCGGTGTGCGTCTGTTTTCTCTACAAGTGGAAAAAGTGAACCAAATTTTACACCAAAATATCATTACAAAAATTTGGGGAGTGGAAAAGATATTCTTAAAGAGTTAATTTTTATGGAGACAATCAGTGAGTGTTTCTTTGGATGTAGTCTTGAGGGTATCCTCTTCAAAGAGACTCCCTTAGAAATTAGCCTAAAACATCACTCTCTTTATTTTAGGTCCAAACCCCACCTCTCTTTAGACTGACTCCCCTCACACTTACTGTAAATAATATCTCTCTTAAGATAGTTGTGAAGATATACTGATAAGAGAAATAGTAATTAATTTCTTAATTCTAGAAGGGCTTAACCTAACAGATCTGTAGAGGACTGTGCAAGGAGGACCTAAGGGCGAGAGAAGCAAACTCAGCTCTCAAAAATGTAGCCAGCCGCGTGCCTTTTTTTCTTCTAAGTTTGGAATACCACCTCTGAATGCAGTGTACAGCAGCCAGTAGGAGGTAGAACGTGGTATGAAGCCACAAATAATTTTGTTTTTAGAGGCTTGCAAGGAAATTTAGTATGAGGATATAGCTGCACTGAGACGGAGTGACTTTGCTTACTTCAATGCCTGGATTAAGACCAGAACAGGGCTGTTACCTGTTCTTTTACACACCTGTGTTGCTCACTTCCCTGCAACTTCTACACTCCTCTGAGGAACTGGAGTCAAGAAGAATGTCCTCCTTAAGGTTCAGAAGTTTAAGACCAACTCTTTAATGCTTTAGTTTCTTCATCCTTTTTATACAACTTTGATACTCTTAGTTTAGTAATATTGCAAGTAGCAATTTTGTGTTAACTTAAAACACTAATTAGTTTTTATTTTAACAGTGATATTGTGAAGAAGATTGACCAGTCTGAATTTGAAGGCTTTGAATATATCAATCCTCTTTTGATGTCAGCTGAGGAATGTGTCTAACTTTTTGTTTCTGAACTGTGCCATATATTGCACCTATCGCTTGTTTTCTGCATGGATAAACAAGTTTCTATTTGATTGCACCTGCATCAAATGAAAACCATTTTACCCTTACCACCAGCTGTGGAGTCACAAATTTTTAATCTTGGTTGTTCCAGTTGGCAATCATGCTGAACATTTTGTGTTAAGCTGCAGAAATTTTTTTAAATGTTAATCTTCCAACAATCTTGCCAAAGTCTAATTTTTATATAGAAGCAGCCATTGCCTGACTGAAGTAGTGGATTTTTCTGTTTAAATTGCTGTAAGTAATGTAGCTTTCTGCTTAAAAATCTTCTTACATGTGCTCTTAAAGCAGTTACATTAGGGCACATAATGAAACAGCATTAAAAGCCATTAATATTTACATTTTAACAGCAAGACTGACAAGACTTCACTTCTAGTAACTTCTAAAGCTTCTCTCCTTCAGTCTTGCTAAGTATACAGATCTTTCCATGTTTACAGTTGAAACTGTGGTGTTGCTCCAATACACTCAAATGACACTTGGACAGCAGTTCCTTAAACTGGGCAGAGCAAAGGAAAATGGCTGCTTTCTTGAACTAGGAAATATTGATTGTTACAAAAGAAGATTGTTTTCTTGTAATTGAATTAATAGATTCGATTTCTGATTTGTAAGTGGGGGTGTAAACATATACAGGTTGGTATGTGAAAAAGAAAGTGTCTTTCTAAACCAGTCCCTTTCAGTAAGGGCTGTAAGAGACATAAAGTGTCAGTTTAAATGGGTGGAACTCACTTCATACTTTTTTTTTTTTTAAGGAAAAAAATCTGCATAGAGAATTATTTTTAGCAAAGACGGGCAGCTAATGAAGAATGTAGAACCTCATGATATTTATTCCTTAAATTCCATAGCTGTTTTGGTAATTCTGTAGTGGTTATCATACAACTAAACCTAGTTAAAGAGAAGACAGTAAAAATAATCAAATTTTACTGCCGTGTTATTGGAAAAGCATTCCATTTTCCCAGTGGGAGAAAATGCATGTTTTTATTCGTGTAACCCAATATCAAAACCAGATTACCTAGCTACAATGACTCCTGGACCGTGTGCGTGTGCGTGTGTGTGTCAATTATGAATTATCTCTACCAATATTAGGAATCCTCAATGGACTAACTGTCTGTCAGGAAAAATTGGAATAAATTGAAGTCATTTAAACAAGTGACTTGATTAGAAGTATGATTCTTATAAATATCCATATAGATAGCTAAATATTAAACTACTTTTTGAATGTTTGAGGAATATACTGACTGAAGAGATGCCAAATATATTTTGTGCTTAACCTTAATAACATTTTTAAGGAAAAGGGATGTTAAGAGAAATAGTCAAATTCTATATAAATTATCCTACAAAGGCTTAAACTGCTAAAGAAGCAGACTTAATAAAACACTAGTCTGAAAACATAACATACCTTAGGACATGTCTACACTGGGCTGGCAACGCACATTAAGTAGTATGATTTGTAGAGTGCACTAATATGCTGCACTGTAACTGCCTCCACGCACCCTGTTGGCATGCTCTAAAAGGTACCTAGTTTGCATTAATGTAGTTACAAGAACCCAGATAGACAAGAGTTACCTAAAGTTCCCTCTGCTGCTGTTTCCCTTGAAAGCTGTAGTGCACTGACACTATAATTTCAGTTTTACTGGTGTGAATTACCTTCATTTGTATACTTAAACTGTTTTATATTCTGAGAGGTTGACGCTGCTTGGTACCTGCCCATAGTATAGTACCTAGCTCATTTTTGTTTATATTAGGCTATGTTTTAACAACTGACAAGCTGTTTTGGTGCCTCCAGTTTTTGGGAAGTACTGAAACTTTCTTCCCCCTGCCCCCGAAAATAGTGCTCCTGTATGATGTCTCAAGATGAGCCCTTAAAATCACAAGCTGCTCTTTAGGCTTTAATCTATTTAAATCTTAAAGGGTTTTTTTCACTACATGAGTTAAATTTGAGATAATCTTGAAGTATTTAGCCTTGGACTTGTAAATTTGTCATCTGTATAGAAGTCTGGAATTTGTTGCTATTAAACTCAATCTGCTATCAATTAGGCCTGAACTAGACTCTGTATAGTGGCTTAACTTCATAGGATATTCAGTGCAAAATAGTTTTATATGGGGAAGTATTTTCAGATTTTCATCATACACTTAAAGATGAATGGCATTCTCACTTTGAAGTTTTTGTTCTTGATGCAAAAACATTTTTTTACAGATGTTACAGAAAATATGCATTTTTATTTATGTATCTTAACCTTAAGGTCTGCCTTCTATTGTATTATCAACTTAGTTAACGAAGTGATATATATATTTAAACAATTGTCACTGCAAGTCTATTTTTTACTTTGTCTTCATACTCTAAGTGCCAGAACATTAACTGTTAATTTTTTAAGTTGCTAAAGTTGTAGATGCTGTCTTAGTATATTCCACAGGGAAATCAGGCATGGACAGTCAAGAACAGTAGGTTGTTATATCTTGTAGAGAGAAACTGTCTACATCAGAATCATGATGTGTTTGTGGAGTAACCTCATTTTTGTATACAAATTGAACTTTGGGTGCTCTTCTAGTTGAATATGTGGCTACTGTATTTTTCTGCTTCACTTAGAACACTGTTTTGAACATTATACTGTGTAATCATTTTCTGTGTTTGTGCACACATTTTTTTACTTTGTCTTTAAATAAAACATTTAAATAAAACATTTATATTAGAACTCTGTAGTGTCTTAACCCCAATATAATACTCGGGAGATGATGGATAGTTTTGAAAACTGGATTGTATACTATACGTACAATTTTATCAGTCTTTCTGCAAGCAGTCCCATAGCACACTGACTTAGATTTCAGAGGTAAGTAACAGCATAGTACTGATACAGAGGTCCAACAAAAGAATTGTTTGTGTGCCAAAGAGAAAGGAGCAGGGCTTAGGAGTACTGCTAGACAGTGAATGAGCTGCTGGCATATACTTTAGATCAGTAGTTCTTAACCCTTGAGGGATAATTTGGCATATTTCAGGGGGCAATAAGTTTAAAATACAATAGGTGTTCTATTTTGTTCAATATAATGGATGAAAGAATAAAATACATTACAATGATTAATTGTAATTTTCTTTTTGTCCGTTGCTGTTTTTAAAAGGGGTAATTTTGGTTTATTGATTAAGCTTAAACGGTAACAGTGCCAAAGAGGTTAAGAACCATTGCTTTAGATTATCTAGATCATGGATTCCCAAACTGGGGAGCGTGCCCCCCCCCCGGAGGTGGGGGGTGTGAAGAAATTCCAGGGGGGGCACATGGCAACCCAGCCCCTCCCCAAACCTGTCAATCCCACCCCAAGTTTTGCTGCTCTTTTTTTGGGGGGGAGGGTTTCTCAAAAACCAAAAAGGGGGGCATATGCCAAAAAGTTTGGGAACCACTGATCTAGATCATCTCATCTGAAGACGTGGGTTTTGCCCAAGAAGGCACTCTTTCATTCTCGCACTCATGTTCTCTCTCTTTATATAAATAAATAAAATAATGTTACCTTCTAAGATAGAGATCAAATATGGCTCTCTTGCCATATGCAAAATACACACAACTTTTTAAAGTAATTCAGAATTTTAAAAACATGTAATTACTCATGTCAAAAAGGTCTTTTTTGTCTATTTTTACCTTTAAGCAGAGGTGAAAGTAAAGAGGTGCACTCCATTTAGAACCAGCTGTGCTCGGGCTGGGGCACTGTGCTTGTTCAAAGGGCCGCTTTAGGGCATGCTGTAGGGGACGTGTTCACACTCCCAGCCGGGATAGTGAGAGGGCTGGTGGCAGCAAATCCCTCCAGCTGTCTGTAGCGGCCTGACTCCAGCCCATATCTTACTGCCGTAGTCTGTCCCCAGCTGCCATGGTCCTGAGGCACACCCCATGGTGCAGCCCCACAATTGCTGCAGCAGCCCAGCTTAGGCTCCATCCACAGCAGCCTGGCCAACAATATTTCAGTCAGAGACCAGCCTCCATCTAGCTTTAGCATCCTGTCCCCAACCCCAACCATGGGTCAGGCCCCATAGTTTGGTCCCCATCTGGCCACAGAAAGGCCTGGCAGCAACACCCTCCATCCCCATTGCTGCAGCACAGGTAGGAGGGGAGGCCACAATCCATCTGTGGTGATCCTGGCCAGGCCCCTCACCCAACCACTGCTGGCCTGGGTGCAGCAGCCCAGTCAGGTAAGGTAATCTGGCACCAGGCCTCCCCCAAATATACACCTGCTTCCCATACCTAACGCCCTGGCCTGCCTCCTGCACTTCCCACCCTAACCCTCTGTTCTGAGCCCCTCATACACCTTGACTCCTGCATCCCACATCCACAACTGCACCCCCCAAGAGCAGCAAAAGTCCCATTAAATAAAGTCTGTGCGTACAATGTTTTATTTATGCTATTAATCATGTCAATTATCAATAATTTGTATATTTTCAGTCATGCAAATGGGCATTCTTATACTGGCTCTTTGTTGACCGCTGGTTCTGAATTTTAAAGTAGTTTGGCTCTTTGGTTTGAAAAGGTTGCTGACTTGTGCCCTGAAGTGCCACAGGACTACTCATTGCTGACATGTATGACAGGGTTGGGGACAGTGTTATTTCTAATAAAAAAAAATTTATCAGATGGGATAATTTTGTATTATCATATGGAGATCATGTTGCAGCTGTAACCAAACTATTAATGTTGTTTAAAATATACATTAAAAGATATTATGACAAGGATATTGTGTGTTAAGACTACTAGATCTTACTCAATTCAGCCCAATTGTGTGCTTGTATACGTTCAAGGGCCTTAGCAAACAGGTTCCATTCTGGTAGAAGAAGAAAAAAATTTGATTCCCAAGTGGACTATTCAATAAAGTTATTGGGAGAAGTAAAATTCTCCGAAGTGAGTGCTGCATCTGCCTCCTATACCATTAACTGCCTCTACTAAACACCATACAAGCAGAAAGTATTTTCTCACCAAGGAAAGCATCTCTCTCAAAATAACTGACATCCCTATCTTGTGATGCCAAAACATAGGTTTGGACTATGTCCTCATTGCTCTCAGATCTCGTCACCTTCCACTATTTTAAACTGAACGTTGATGCTAGAGCATTCCTCTGGTGTTTTAATGAAGATCACAAAAGACATTTGCCCTTCTTGTGTGATCTTATGGTTGATTTATCTAAAGTGTGAATTGTCAACTTTGGTTTTAGGACCACTGTGCCATTTCCATATTGTTAAATGACAGAGGGGTCCTACTATGGAAAAAGTTGAGAACCACTGCTTTGAATTTCTTTTAAGTGGGATTTTGAGTTTCAATGACATCAGCTAGAAGATAGTTGAAACCACAGGTTTTCCAGCAAAATTCTATTAACTATATTTTGTCATGACATATACTAGTGCTAAGAACTGATACAAGTACCAAAAGAAAACGTATTTTTTAATTAGTTTTTTCCTGTCCTTGTATCCCATCATGAAATAGTAGCCCATTGTCTGCTATCTGTAACACTGATGTACACGGCCATGCCCCCTGGCCGTGTATGTCAGCGCCCCGCCCCCCCTTCCCCTCGCTCCATGGCGGCAAGCGGCCGCAGGGCCCCCCGGACACCCCTCCCCCCGCCAGCACTGCTTCCCTCCTCCCTTCCTCCGGCC